TGCCCGGCGGCACCCCCGCCCGCGGCCCCGGTACGGCCCCGGTAGCGAGCCGGGCCCTTCGCTGGGGCCGTCGCAACTTGAGGTTTAGCTGCCGGCGCGGCCTCCTAGGGGCGCAGGCTTCAAACGGGTGGTTTCAGTCAGCCACACGCCTTCTCCCACCCCGTGTTTCGGCGTGTCGCGTCGGGCCTCGGTCCTGGGATCGGATCCAACTGAGTGCCGGGAGTTCCATGGCCGTCAGCGGTCCCCGTGGGCTTGCCTATACGTGTTTGAAATACAAGCATCAAGTGCTGTTGGGAAGTTTGGATTTTTTTTTTTTTTATTATGCGTTTATTATACACGTAATGTATATTTAGGAAAAAAAAAAGAGAAAATGTAATATATTCTAAATCGACAGGCGACTGTGTTCTTCTTTCTTAGGTGTTTGGAAAGAAACTGGGGAGAAGAAATGTGCATTTCTGTATAAGTAGCTGTATTTAGGGTTCTCTGAATCGCTAGAGGTAGGCTTTAGGAAGGGAGGAAATGTTACCTCCCCTTAGGGCATTTCTCACAGCGTTTATAGGTTGTACGCTGATAAGTCTTAACAGACTCTGCTCCAAAAACACTTTTCTACGCATTGAACTGGATGTCTGTTATATCTATACTTACTATATCTGGGGTTTTCTTTAGTAAATGTTGGTATAATTTCTTGCAGCTTGTCTGAATTTTCTGAAGCTCTGCAAAGTCAAGTACTACAACTATTGTCTTATTTATAATGTACAGGTGAGTAGTCTCAATTCCTTATTTTTTGTTGGTTTAAATTCACAAACATGAAAGCAATACCTTATGTATTCTGCTTTGTGGCAGAGGGATTTTATTATACAAACCGGTGACCCCATGGGAACTGGCCGTGGAGGGGAATCCATATTTTGGTAAGTAAAACTTTTGTGTTTACTTAATCGACAGAGAAGTTGTATAGGGGAATAGGGGCTCCAATTAGATGGTCTTCAGCTCTGTTTGGGCAGAATTACTGATGGGAAGTAAAAATGTTGATGCATAAACTTCTTCGGTTGTCGTACCTAAATACCTTTGTAATTCCTATGCTGCTTTTGGCCATTCAGATTTTTTTTTCTGGACAGTATTCTATCTCTGACCTTAGAAACAAAGTTACAGCTAACAAGTTGTACATACATTTCTGTTTATTTAAAAGCCAGCAAATAACTATAGATTTGGTTTTGTGAGAGAAGTATCATAACTAAGTGCTCTGTAGAAGGCAAAATCATTAGCAGTCTGTTACTACTTTTATTTTTGTAACAAAGTGTATTTAATTGAGTGGGAGGGGAATATAGAGGTTATACGTGATTTCCTCTGTGCATAAGAAAGTAATTCTGTTGCTCTAAAAATTTACTTAAGTTCATTTTAGTCATGTTGAGTGTGTAAAGGAAATCACTTTTCTTCCTTGTTTAAGATGGTTTTCAGTGGTCATGCACATAAAAGTTGAAGAAATCATGCAGACAGCTAGGATGGAAGTTAGCAAAGTGCATATGTTCTATATGATTCCTTTGAAATTGTTATTAAAAGTAGAATTAAAATTGCAGGGCAGAACTAAACCTGGAGCGCTGGGGAACACACTATACAGAGATAAATAGCTCAGTTTGAACACAGACAGCATTGCTAGACCAGTATTGGCTTCTCTAAGTCTGGTCTATCAGAGCCTCTTAAATACAAAACCTGAAAACCTGGATACATGGATCACCACTCTGGTGATCCTGGAAGCAATATAATTGTGCTAAGCAGATGCAAGTCCAGATAGGTAAACTTGCCAGACCTGAGCTGTCTCGGCACACGGGTAGATCAAGTTTATCTTGATATTCTGCTCTTTTTTAAGGATTGGTCTTCTGAGGCTCTTTGGTATGACAGATAGGGAAGTATAGTGTGATGAGAGCGGCAGGTTCTGTTTCACTACTAGCATGGAGAATGGTAGTTTGTCTTTTCTAGCTGTTCATTACTGCTGAAGTCCACGAAATTGGAGTTTCTGCTCTTGCTACCCAGGAAACTGATGCAGGCAAAGTTTGATTTGAATCCTCTCTTCATAGAGGCTTACACCTGCTTAGCACAATGAGTTCAAACAGAACACTGTCCTTAAATTTGGGCAAATGTGTGTATTGACCATGCCTCTGTCAGTTATGGAGTGAGACGAAATGAATGATATCAGGGTTAGAATTAAAAAGAATGTAACAGTTTGCCATATCCTGTGTATCTCAAATTACTGTATGCAGTCCTGTCTGTGTGATGAACTAAGTTTACACATAGATTTAGTGGCTTTCCATTTACCTTGGAAGAGAAATTTGTGACATAAATTACTACGTTTTTATGGTGTGGATTAACTTATTTTTACGGAACCTACTTATCAAAATACATAGTTGCTTCATGCCTTAAAAAAATGTTATATACTGCATTTAAAAACATACAAATACACCCCACACACCCCCAAAAAAGCCGCTGTGAAACGCCTCAGAGAAAAATCTGTTGTTCCCTGTAATGTAAAGTGGTGAATTATGTAAGTGTACAGGTCCATAAAAATGTGCGTGGATGCAATGTAAATTCTGGTTTTATTTGAATGCCAGCGTAAGAACTTTTAAGATGTTTTATTTACTGTTTCACAGCATCTGTTTATGTCACTTTTTAAAATTCCTTTGCCTTGTAACATATTTGTTATGTATATTTTCAGTCAACTGTACGGTGATCAAGCTAGATTTTTTGAGGCAGAAAAAGTGCCGAGAATTAAGCACAAGAAAAAGGGAACCGTGTCAATGGTGAACAATGGCAATGATCAGCATGGATCACAGGTCAGCATACAGTGTTGGAAAGCCTTGGTACACATCTAAGTAACTAAAATGAAAATTCCTTGAATTTACAAAAGAGGCGTAACAATGAGAGTGTCATCTCAATATCTTCATCTTGCAATATGGTCAAAAGGCATGTAAAAAAATGGCCATAGAGAAGTATTTTGCATAGTGTCCCAGGTGCCAGTGGGTATTTGATGACAGACAAGAAAGAGATTAAAATGCTCAGATTCAAATCCTGTCCTAGATTAATTTCATAAACTTTTTTTCTTACAATTCCATCCTCTATTTTTTCCTTGTTTATTCATTTCTGTTAATACCTTGATGTGATTTTGTGAATTTATAGAATGGACAGGAAAAAATCCTATAGTTAAATGGAAGTGAAAAATAAGGAAATTGGGTTTTAAAATAATCTTAAAACTTTCTGGTTATAACTTCATGTTAGTTTGGAAACAGAAATCATATCACAGTTCTCTCTGTATGGTTACATAAAAGCGTGCATTAATAATACAATGTAAGTTTACAGTTTTATTCCAGTGCTGTTATAAAACAAACTTTGAAAGTGTTGTTGTTCCCTTTGCTGTTCCCTGTTCACGTGCACAAAGTTTTTGCTGTAGGTATATTTAAAGCTCTAATCTCATAGAATGATATTATTTCTAAATTATTATTTTAGATGCATTGTCACTTTTATATATTAAAATGCCTCACTTGTAATGTCCATATGTTTTTATTTTAAAAAGAGTTTTTTTTAATAATGGAAGAGTAATTTAAAAAATCTACAGTTTTATTCCAGTTAGAGCTTGTAATATATGGAGTTAGTTTTGCTGCTTCCCTGCATTGTATGTATAAAATTGCTTGTTTGGGTGGGGAGTTTAGGAAGAAGAGATGACATTTATATTTACATCTAAGAAAGCAGCCTGCTAGCATATACACAGGCGTATGGGAGTGAATGCAGTTCCCAGGAACATTATTGCAGCTTCTTCCTTGGGAAAGAAAAATTCCAGTAAGGAATTACATGGAGTTGGCTTACAAATATAATGTAGCTTAGTGTAACCTATAGCAAATACTAACTAGTCTTAACTGTGTTGCAGAGAATGAGGAGTGAGATGTTACCAGTCAGATTGTAAAGTGTGGATGTAATGGCTGTGTTCTGTTATTTGTGCATATCTGATTCCTCCCCCTTCATTCACTACCAGGCGTCTTTGGTCTTTGTTACCAAGTGTTCAGCTGGTATCAATTTCCATAGCTTCAGTTTTGCCCTCAAGTGAAACACCTGATTTGTGTTAGGATACTCTCCCAAGTAACTGGCGATAGGACGAGAGGAAATGGCCTCAAGTTGTGCCAGGGGAGGTTTAGATTGGATGTGAGGAAAAATTTCTTTACTGAAAGAGTGGTTAAACATTGGAACAGGCTGGCCAGGGGAGTGGTTGAGTCACCATTAAGGAAAAATTTCTTTACTGAAAGAGTAGTTAAACCTTGGACCAGGCTGCCCAGGGAAGTGGTTGAGTCACCATCCCTGGAGGTATTTAAAAGACGTGTAGATGAGGCGCTTAGGGACAT